TAAATTGAAATATATGTATAATACTATAATGTATTTAATAATGTGTTTCCAAAATAATTAGAATCAAAGATATCGAAAGCACAAACAGTATTTAAATCATAAACGATATTGGTCATAGAAATACAATTTGGCACTCACCGGTACGATGCGCAGCAACGGAATATTACATCGACCTGTAAAATACAAATGCAAAATTCTAATTATAACAGCGTCCAAAATATTTCACAAATTAATTACAGCGCGCGCGGAATTTTTCACTCATCCCTTTCAAGCACACACAAATTTAACAAAATAATAATTATATAACTTACAAAAAGAAATTTCTATAAAATTTCATAGACAAAATTTTTTTCTCCCATTATTTGTTAAATAATACGAACCCAAAGAGAAGAAGAAAGTTAAAATAATGCTAATTTGATATCGTATTAACTCAATTTTTTAATATCGTGATTCAATCAATAAACGGCATTATTTTGACTTTCTTGTTCTCCTTGGGAATAAACGAATAGATTAATTTCGTAAGTAATTTTTTATGTAAATCAAGCCTATTCAATTTGAGCTCCGGAGCTGAAAAATGATTTGAGTGACACTTACAGTCAACACTTTACAGTCCCTGAAATATTGGGTTGTCTGGAAAGTTCGTGCCGATGTTGAAGGAAAAAAAATTGAAACACAGAAAATTTTAATTTAATAAATGTATACTAAAAATTTAAATTTTAGTCGGCATGAACTTTCCGGACAACCCAATATTACTCATTGAATTTTTTTTGCGTCGATGATTTTGCGTTTTGATTCCGGAACTCAAATTGAACAAACCTAATATAAATGATAAATTTCTCACCTCATGGTTGTTCCGCTATCGGCCAATGCCTCCTGCCAGGCCTCCTCCTCCTCTCAGACTTCCTCGTCGCACTCACTCGCAAAAGTTAAATTAGAAAAACTACGATCATTTTTAGAAAAACTACGATACGTACTTTGTACGGCACTCCCGATGCGATGCGTCGTTATGCATCACGGAAGAATAACACATACGAAAAAGAATCGCGCGAAGCGAAAGTGAAACGAAAGTACGAACGGCACTCGAATCTCGAACGTTCCACGCATCGAAGCACGAACGGTCAAATCTAAAACAGGACGAACGAAGGACGCGCGGCTAACTTCACGCGTCACTTCGCTATGGCGATGTCCACCATATGTCGCTTCTACTCGCACCTTTGATACTTTCAGTATTTCCAATGATAAATATATGCAATGATAAATATGTGCAATAAATGCACATTCACCATTTTGCGTTACAACAAAAACGAATCGAAACACGATCTAAAATCGAAGATGAAAACGTCCGCGAGATACAACATTCGACAGAATACGATCACTTCGGTGATTTATCGCGCAATATTTTCCGATCGGATATATTATCTTGCGAAACACGATGTTTCAACGAATCGACGAGTACAAATTACAATCCCGAATTCGAGCCCGAATTTGAACTGTAATTATAAATATAGAAATATTTATTAACCGGGGTCGCAGTTACACGGAAAAATATTCTATCATTAAGAAAAATGAAATGATTACTCAATTTATTTCTTTTAAATAACGATTATTTTTAACAAAGAATATTTTTTTGTATGATAATAATCTTAAAATATACTTGTAATAATTTTTATAAAAAATTCATTATTGTGTAATCGAAATAAGAAATTATTTTCTTTCAAAAAATTGATCGAGGAATGATGATTTTTTTCTATAAGAAAATCAATTTTGTTTTAATTTAATAATTAAAACAAATTAATTGAAGTATTAAACTTTTACCAAGATTCAGAATAATTTTGAATAAATTTTATGCTGGTAATGAACTTAGAGATTTGTGGATATACGAACTTGTAGAATATATAGGTACTTGAAACAAGTAATTATTACTTGCGTACATACAGTATGTATTTTTCTGTGTGTATACTAATTAAATCTACGACTAATTGACTGCGGCTCGATTCGTAGCCAATCCACCCTGTGGCGTTCCATAAATGATCGAAAAAAATGTTCAAACGATAAGTGACTTCGCATCGATACTACGCAGTGCAAATTAATGGCTAATTAAGACATAATTGAATATCCGAAAACGTAACGATCAAATTTCAGCATTGCTACATAACCTCGAGCGTATAATTCCCACGAAATATACATGCTATTAGTACGTTGATTGCAACTTTCTTTTTCACCTCTGCCGCTCGATAGTTCACGTATTACGCCACGCGTTTCGAAATACAAAGAGCTAATTTACATTTAACTCAAAGCGACACATATTCTAACTTCCTATATTGTTAGAAAACCAACGTTGCTCATGAATATCGCAATAAAGCAATAATTTCTCTTCTCCATTACATCGAATTTTAATAAAACGGGTAAAACACACAAAATACCTTTCTCGATTGACGGCCATCGTCTCGATATTTTTATGTTGCTAATCGCGGAGTTAAGTAGGGACTGACATGTAGATAATGGCTTTCTTTATTTTCTTAATCTTTTCGCGACTAATTGTAAGGATTATACGATGACGTGCGGAACGTCTCGTTGTGTTGCCTGCCGGCTCGAGCTTCGACGCAGGAATGAGAGCTAAGAGCGAGGGGGACCGTTGCGTTGGCAAACAGTTGAACGATGCAGGGGCCGCAGGGCGCATCGCAAAAACAAACATCAAGGTCACGCGTCCCCCGACCGATTTGTTGTCGTTTTAAAATATTCAACGTACATTAGAAAATTATTTATATTGAAATAATTTTGCTACGAATGTCTCTACCTTTTCTAAATAATTTTGATGGATAAATGTACGATGCATTATCGCGTTTCGCGCTTGATAAAAGAAGATTGTGTTAATGTCGCGATATGCAGTATATTATTGATTAAGTTATTTAACGTAATTACTATCTCTTTTTAAATAAAAATTTATACGTTTTTAATTAATTCAATTTAAAAGAAGTTTGCTATTTATTTTAAGAAAGAATTATGATTTTTAGACACAAAAATATTAATCTGTATTTTTTTTCTAAAATTTTTTTAGAAAATTCTGTATTATTTTCTATTAATATTATGCATACATATTATACATACGATATTATACATACATGAATAATATTATACATTTATGAATAATTCTCAAAGCAAAAAATAATTCGTAGCAGACGCTATAAATAAATTTTTGAACTGTAATGTTAAATAATAGTTAATAATTAGTTACTATATATGAATCTGTAATCGTGAATATTAATTGTATGGTTTTATAATTGTCAGTGTTTTAATTTAAGAAATGATAACGGTTGTCAATTATAACATTGATATCCACTGATTCTTTTTTTTCAGCTAGTAAAAAATAGGAGTAATAATTATCAATTAATCTAATTTTCTTTATATAAACGATCACTTTTTACATCCCAATTGGAATCACTATTATTAATCACTATTATTAATAATATATATTATTAAATGCTTTCTGATTTATTATTTGAGAACATTATGAATATATGGATTTAATTACAATTTTCTGAAAAAAAAGTTTTTAAATATAAATTAAACAAATATTAAAAGAAATGTTAAATAACTTATTATGCCAATACTTTTAAAAAATAAAGAATTTAATTAAATATAACATTTTTTATTGCGGATTTTAGAATTATAGATAGTAGAAAAAAAGTATTAAAAAGTTCATAAAGAATAATTGTTAAAAAAAGAAAAAATGTTAAACAATATTTTACAATAATTGATTTTTCACCGCTGAAATATAAAAATATCTTAATCGACTATTTCTGGATTAAAAATGTTTTTCGTAATTAATTCATCTTTCTATTGCGATGCTACCGTTCATCTATTCCTGATGTGGCATATGAGCTTGTCATTGCCACAAACACGAAGCAAACCATAGCAAAATTAATTGTGTGATTTATATATGCTGCCACAGGCAACATATAATTAATCCCTGTTGCTAGGTATTGTTTGCCGCGGACGAGTGAACGCGCGTGGATGTCAAAGTGGGCGAGTAAGTGCAATCGATTTGCAATAAATGGCACTTGCCGGCATTGTGCGTTCGGTCAATTCCGTGGTCAATTCCGTGATGCTAAATTAACTCAAAATTCAGTAGTCCTCCCTTGGTACCATTGCCAGCGATTTATGATACGAAATAATATGTAATTCATCCGTCCGATCTCGACCCGCTCCTTTTTCATGCAGCCTCGCATGGTTCGCTGCTCTAAAGAAAAAAAAAAAATAAATAAAATGAAAGAGAGAGTTATTAATCTTGATGTTTTTAACGGCATAGTTTTACCGTGACGAAATATCATCACAAAGCACGTCGTCTTTGTAGTTACATTATCGGTATAACGATGAAATATTGCGAACAATATTATGGGAATGACTTATGTAATTATATAATTTATCTTCGTAGCGCTAGCTCATTTATTGTATCGAAAATAAAGGAGATATAAAATATAGTATGTTTGAATTTTTAAAGTATTAGATAAAAAATACATTGATTCCTCTTTAAATGACGATTGTAATAAATGTTCTTTATTTATCCAAATAAACGAAGGTACATATAGCTTTTTAAAAAATTTGTTACAAAATCATTAAACTTTATTCAAACGCATATTTTCTTTATTGACGATACTTGGTAGAGTAAATATATACCCGATAAATGGTAATAAAATGGTATAATGGTAGCAAATTTACAAATATTAATAAATAAATAATATTCTCCTAAACGAAAGGATTAAAATGTAAAGCGCATTTACTTGTTGAAACGTTTTGGCTTAATATGATTTTAAAATATATCACATGCGTCCAAATATTATATATTATGATAATATTTCACACAATACAATCTCAATAACATGGACTTTATAATTGCAGAATTTTGTCGATTATTACACATATAGCGATGGATTGATAGAGATAATTTATGGATACATATCCCTGTCATCATGAATAATAACTTTTTAATTATATTTCAGACAAATCGGAGCGATGCGCATCGAGTAGTCCTAAAGGATGTACAGCCCAATCATACTGGCAAATATCGTTGTGAAGTCTCCGGAGATTCTCCTTCGTTTAATACCGTAATGGTCTCTGGTTACATGCACGTAGCTAGTGAGTATCTGGAGAAATGTATTTTACATCTGAGCAAAGATAACACGAAATGCACTGCGAAGACTGAAAAGCGAAGCTCAACGCATAGCTAAGCAAACATATTCCTTTCTATGAATTCCGATATGAGTAAATATGTGACGAAAAGAGCAAAAACCTATAAACCTGCATGTTCCTCGTACACGCGTTATAATATTTAAAATAAAATACTGCAATTTTACAGAACCACAAAATAATCACAAAATAATTATAGCTAATTAATTACAAGATTAATAGCAGTAATGAAAATACTGAAATTTTACCAAATTAATAACGCGGCACGTAATATGCGAGAAAATATTTAAAGAGATGTTCAACCACTTAACAGTTGAAAAATGTAGGGAAAAAGTAATGAATAACAAATTACTTTTAACTTTATACAAAATTTTATTAAAAATTGTGAGAAAAATTTGATCTGAAATAAATTTTTAATGATTTCACTAAAATATTTTTATATGATCAGGCGAATAAGTGTTTTTCGTAACATCAGATTTTTATTTCATCTATTGTGCAACATAAATTAAACTCGAATATATTCTTCTCATTTATATATACTTTTTAGTATTTTTGTTACAATATTTTTATAATGAATTTTTCGCGATTTTTCATAGCATTTGTTGTACATACAAACACAATTGTTATTTCAGAAAGATGTTAAATAACTATTATATTTTTATAACACTTCAAGTTCTTTTGTAACAACATTTATTAAGCCAACAATTTTAAAAACAATTATTGATTCTGATAAACTACGAAAACTTTTATATTTTTTAATAATTATAAAATTTATAAGAGAATTTATGAAGAGAAAAGGAAAGGAGATTAATAATTGGCTTCATTTTATAAATTTAGTAAGCTTTATATTACAAATAACGATAATAAATTTTAAAATCCATTGAAATTTACCAGACTTGAAAGAATATGATTGTGATCAAAGTTTCGCTACAAATGCTTTGAAGCATTTGATGGACCAATTAGAAGCAAGAATTTTACAAACTGACCAATTAAAAAACGTTCCAAAGCGTTTGTAGCATCGCGTTGACCATACCCTATGGCATTTAAGAAATGGCTTCTTATTTTATAAAATTATAGAAGTTATGAAATATAATTAATTCCAACATTCTCGCTGGTACTGCCTCAGAGAGGAAATTACAAATTAACGTCATAGGTAGCTGTTTATGCGTGCGAGATGACAAAAAGCTGGCGTCATTAGCCTTGATAAGCACGCAATAAACCTGTCTGCAAGACAGAAATCTTCGATTGGTGATGCTTATTGAATTCTACGTCCATCGCATCTTGTCCGATCCAAGATGAAAAAGCGTGAAAGCCACCGTTAATTTTACCATTTGACGCCACTAAAGCGTTAAATGGATATCGTTAATTTATAACTACTATTCCATCGATTAACGTTGTTTCGGTAGACGCGCACGATCGTCTCATGTAATTCCCGTTTGTAACGCGGATAATTGCTGCGACCAATTCGCTACGAGACAGCACTTTTTGTGGCGTCCTTCGTATATAAGCGACACCTATTCCGCGCCAGCTGGGACGCATTGTTAAAATTCAATAAAAACATTTTATCGTCCCATTCGAGGGCGGTTAACAGCTAGGTAGAGAGGACGAGGGTCCGTGATGAATCGCGGATTCGGTCGTGACCCGTTAAACTCTTTTTTTTTGCTCGTTTTGCCCACGACTTTGTTCCTCGCGCGTTACCAGGCTCCGGATCTCTTTCTCTCTTCTCCGGCATGTCTCTTGCGAGAGTACCTTTCATTATCGTTGATTATCCTACATGGCGACTAGTATTGTCACTGTAATCGCGCCCAATTAAAACGCAGTTAAGCGAGGAGAGAAACCAGAGAGGAACCGAATAGCGAGGATGGAAGAGAGACGGCGACAACCGTGAAAAAGAAGGAGACGCGAAGAAGATCAAGGAAGGAGCATCTACGAGTCCCGTTCCCACCGTTCCTTACCGCCGTCGTCGATCTAACGACAGCACAAGCACGGTAGGAATACTCCTTTCGAAGGGACGAGGTGATTGCCTCCTCTTTCCGATCACGAATCTCTCGTAAAAGCTCGATACTAGATCAAGTTTCGAAACTCGTCTTGCAAGTCCGTGCAAGTCGCTTTCGTCCTTGCCGCTCTCGGATGCACCGTCTCTCTCGTTTCCTCTTTCCCAGTTCTCACGGGACCAGCGATTCCATTCTATGCGACACATGAGTTGAAAACCGTAATATTCCTTGGTCATGTCCTTGAGAGTACTCGTGACGAAGATCGCGCGAGGAAGGAGCGGCCCGAGGCGGAAGTCGTTGCGGGAAAGTGAGACAATTC